GATAGGTAGGATCTAAACCATCTTAAAGCCTGCCCTTGAATACCTGTATAGTTTTGTAATCGATCTATGAGTATGTTATTCAGTTCTGTTGATGTGATTTTGTCCGGAACTATTTTCATTGGCAGGACAAAAGCAGATAAAATAATTGGCAACTTTTGTATTATGTAATTGTGCTTTTGTGATATTGCTTAGTTAACTAGGGACTTAACTAGGTAGTGCATATATATATATATATATATATACATTTGAAATAATTATACTACATAGTTAAGTCCCTATATATATATATATATATATATATATATAATATATATATACATTTGAAATAATTATACTACATAGTTAAGTCCCTATATATATATATATATATATATATATATATACACACACACACACATATATATATATATATATATATATATATACCAACTGTGATTTTAAAAGCTTGCATGATTAAATTCTTTAAAAAGAAGCATTCAGCTAGCCAGTAACTTTGTTTTATTTATTTTTTTTGCCAATGCACATTTTCACTCTTGGCAAGTTCTGATTTTGGGCCATGTTTGCATCCATGAGACTGATGGCCGGCCGTGTCTCCCTCTCTCAGCAGAATGAGTGAAGGATAGAATCAGAAGGAGAAGGAGTGTATATAAATATGGTTTCACAGTTGTCAAGGTTATGCGTTTATTCTGACAAGAGTGTGTATGTATATGTCTCAGAAAGTATTATTAATATGATCTTCTTTTGTCTCACCTGCCTAAAAGTCAAATTTTGGATGATTACAGTTTGTGTGTCAATGTATGTGTTAATTCCTAAGTGCATGAGTTTGTATTAATTCCTTTTATTAATATCTCGCCCGTCTGTCTCTCCCAGCCGGAGGTGCAGTTGGCCGAGGATTATGACGTATTTATTCCTAAAGCACAGTTGGACTCTATCGTACTGAACTACACTCGCTCTGGCAGCCTGCTCTTCAGGAAACTGGTGTGTGCGTTCTTCGATGATACCACACTGGCAAACTCACTGCCCAATGGCAAGAGGAAGAGAGGACTGAACGACACCAGGAAAGGACTCGATCAAAACATAGTCGGAGCCATTAAAGGTTTGTGAAAGTAACTAAACCAGACCAGAACTTACACAACATCAGTGTAGAGGAGAACATTATTATGAATTTTGCCTGACATTTATCACTGTCATACATATAACGGTCCTAATAAGTATTTGGGCACTTAAAAATGTCACACTTGAAAATGTCATTGCATTAGGTAATAGGTAATAAAAAATCAAACCATGTGGTGTTTATTTAAAAGATTTAATTTTTCATTCAAAACATTTCACAGGAAGATGGTTAAGTTTTAAGTGATAAAACTCAATATAAAATGTTCAAAAAAAATTGATGTTAAATTTGAGTAAAAATCATGAAGCTGTTGGTTTGATATATTATAATAATGCATATATAAAATATATAAATAAATGTTTATTATTTGTGTACTTGCATTTCTTTGTAATTAATTGTGAAATGTATTATATCTTTATTATAAATATTTATTTATTATTATTATGTATTATAATAAATATTTATTATTATTTCTGTTACTTGCATTTCTTTGTAATTAATTGTTAAATTTCCTAGAAATTTCTAAGTGAACATTTTTTCTATACCGTTGTTATTGTTTTGCTTTTTGTCAGTTTATATAAACTTTTAAATCTGTATTTGAGATGCACCTGTATGTGTATGAATGTAGTGTTCACAGAAAAGTATTGCACAGCCAATGGAATTGAGAAGCTTCCTGGCCCCAGAGACTGGGTCCAGATTCTGCAAGACCAGATTAAACTTGCCCGTCGACGCTTAAAAAGAGGTGAGAACATGACAGAAAGAGAAATACATGCAAGGCAAGTGAAAAAGAAAGAGAGATAGCGTTGTCATACATTACCAAGGATTCGAAGTTGTAACAAAGCTGTTGCTTCATGATTGATGGTTTGCTAGATGAGTGCTATTAAAACAATTAATTGATCATTTAAATGTCAATTTAACAAATGCCTAAATGTCATAATTTATTTGATTTATTTTTAATGATTTGCAGCAGAGACAACCTCAGACAGTAGTGATATTCAGCACAAAACAGGTATTCAGACACAACGACCCAAACCCACACACAGCATGAATGAAAGCTCTTCAGATTGATGAGTGTCCTTCACCTCATGATGAATGATATTTGATGTCCATGTATTGAAGATACTCTAAATAATATGCTAAATAACTTCAGAGGACAAAATTCCATTGGAATATTATTCCCACTAGTATTTCTGTATGTTATTTTTCAGAGAAATGTCAGCAGACTGTTGATAAAGTGGAAACTGTGACACAAAATGGTACTGCAGTCTTTAATATTACACTCTTAAAAAGCAGCATTGTTCCTAAGTAACCCTTTCTTTTGTTCCGCAGGTGCTGCTTATGAGAGAACAGAATGTCTAGTTGCTATGGACACTGCCTGAGAAGAGATTGTTTTCAACAAAATGCAACCTCCGACCCCTGCAAAGGAGTCATTTTAATAGTTTTGTCCGTCTAGCATGTATGGAGAGACTCTATGGAGAGAGGAAATGGCAACATTTTGCTGATCAGTTGGCGCTCCCAACCACTAGACACACTTTTATAACACAAGTACTCTCATTTGATCATTTTAAAGTGGGTTGTCCCAGATGTCACTAGTTGTCTTCTGTGAATATATGGAAGTGTTTGTAGTTTTTCAGCTTCATTCAAATGCTTCACCAACAAATATCAGCAGAACTGCTGAGAAAACATGACTGTGCCTTTAATTCACTCTGCCATGCCAAGCAACAAACTGATGTCATTTCACAACTGTGCTGTTTATTGACACTTTCTGGCGAAATATGTGGCATTTTCTATATTAATAGTACTTAAAGGCACCATATGTAATTTTAGCCACTAGAGGGCACGTATTCAAAACAAACAAAGGCGTAGTTTGATGACACCGTGACTGAGTGGAATCATGGGAGTTGTAGTCTTCATCCCCACAGCCGATGCAATCCGACGGGACTCGGGCAGAAATCATGTTCATGGATGAGCTAATGGTTTATTAACGTAGTAGAATGAAGCAGGGTGAGGCTGAAAGCCTTCAAAGCGAAACGAGGCCGCTGAACGAGCGCGACACACGGCTCGAAAGCAGCAGAGCTTTTATTATGCCACACTTTAGCGCTTCCGCTTCTTCCGGTCGTGCGTATGTGGGGTAAAGCAGCGCTGTTTTATCATACTAGATACATTTGAGTTCTGTTATAATGCTACTCTGTGTGGTCGTCACCGGTCTATTAAAATGCACAACATATTAAAGCGTCTTTAGTGTCTATGTTTTCTACAAAACAAAACCGGAAATCGAGGGGTTATGACGTCATTGGCAGGCGACACAATGACACTATGGACACGGTCCGTGTCACTAGTTCAAATTGCTTATTTCTCTGGATTTAAACATTCTTTGAAACATTTGGGATAATGTAAGTACATAGGTCAGCAAAATATATAACACTGTTCTAGTGGTTTTTGGATATTTTAATAAAAAAAACGTACATGTTGTACCTTTAATGTCATATTCGCTGCACATAGTCTTACTAATGTGTTGTTGGTTATATAATCTGGCAGACTGGTTATGTAGACATGTAACTGTTTGACTTCCTGTGTAAGAGGATTTAGTGTCTATTGAATGTGTACAAATGAGTGAATATGAACATTGTCCTGCATCTGTGTAACAAAGGGTTTTTACCTCATGGTCAAATGCTTGAATAACTATTCATGTTAATATTCGGGTTAAAAACAAGTTAAGCTGTTTGGACAGCATCTGGGGCTTGATTCGTGTCTCAGTTTGTAAAAGCAATCCAAAAACGGAATACGGAATGCACTTATATTGTACACTGCCCCATAGACTTCCACTGTAAGTGCATAACTGAAACTCAAACTGATGTTTGCTTTTATGAACCGAGATATGAGTCCGAATGAATGCCACTGATGCTGCTGATAGAGCTTGACCATTCCTTTAAGAGCACAGATATTGTGTCTGGGCCTCCGTTTTAATATTCCTGTTTAAAAAAAAAGCTCAACTTTATGTTTATTAGTGGAAAGTTGTTTGGTCTGAGACGTCAAATAAATATGGCTGTGTCTTACATGGTTGACCGAAACTCATTTCAAATGCTTTCTTTCTTTCATAAACTTTTTCATGAACGTTTTTTATTTTTGCATAAACTAACATAATTTACACTTACAGTAAAGTGTCTATATTAAAAAAAAAAATCGCTAAATTAAGTTTTCTGCTTTTTTTAACCTCACACTGGTAAATAAATGTATTTATTTATTAATACACTTAAAGGACACAAAATACTTGAACAGAAAAAGGGTAAGGGATAGGTTTTGATTGCTTCTTTGTTAAAATATTTTGTATTTGTATCTACATTGTTTAATTTCTTTCATAAAATTGTATATTTGCATGTATAATTTACAAACAAACATAATTAAATGTACCATAAAACATTCATCATCACTAAATTGATCATTTATATAGTAACCAAAAATAATATGCCAATAAAGCAAATAAAAAAGAATGTAAATCTTTACAAAACTGGCAAGACCACAGTAAGTTTAAAGGTACAAACTAATGTGGACATTTTTTGTTGCCATACTCCGACCGCATTTAAAGGGGAGGCGATGACGTCACACGGGAAAGAAGGACACATGTAGAATTTCGACTTTTTAATTCAAATATCTCCTCAGAAACACTTATTAGCTCGCATCGGTCTTCGGAAGGGACATATCACCGCCTGAGCTGTTAATATAATCTCGTACATATCGTGAATATGGTGCTGTTCGTCAATAAAAAGGGTATTGAATTCAGTGTCAATCTATTCAGGCACATTTTCCAGGCGCCCCTTCTGCGCGCGGTGCATTGCGGGATCGTCGCGTCTCTTGTATCGAGCAAAACCGGTAAGCGCAAACTGAACAACACAATTAAAGGGGAAATGGGGCACGAATATAACTGTGCCACAATGCATTACTTGTGAGGAGAGCTATCTTAATTATTCCAGTAGAAGACATAATCTGCGGAATTTGTGTAAAGTGCACCAAATAATTTAAATGTTATATTATTTCTCAGTTGTGCACACTGCAATCATGGCGCGGGCGCTTTAAGGGTTAATTTTTTCCACCGCCGACATTTTTATAAACAGTTCGGCCGGCTTGCTTCTCTTATTATTTGATTCATTTTACTTTATAAGCGTTTTCTTCTTAGCATGCATAAACTATATCGTATATTAGAAGCGATTAAATGTAATCGAGCAGCGGAAGGCGTTGCGTTGGATCGGCGCGTGCAGCGGTTTTAGTGATTCTTGAGGGAATCGTTCATTTGATGATTCTTTTTAGTGACTTGTTCAAACAAGCGCTTGACTCAACTGTACGTGATGTGTTATTGTTGATTCTTTTTTGTCTTTGCATTCATAAATGCAACTCTATAAAGTCAAGCCCTTTTTTTTCGCGTGTGTTGGTAATCTTGCATACCAAAAATGAATAAAAGAGAAACAATTCAATAAACGCATTCTATTTTAATTGTGTGCTGATGTTCTAAATACATATTTTCGCAGTCTACTGTATTAGTTAAGTGTCTAAATCGCCATTATACATGTAATATATTTGTTGTGCTCAATAAAAACAGTTGCGCGGAGACCTTTGGGAACTCTTGGGTTATGGCTAAAAAACCGAGTCGCGAACTCTTCAAACGAACCGAATCACTAAAGCAGATTCTATCTTGGACAGAGAGCGCGCGCCACATCAATATAGAATTCCAAGAACCCGAAACCCACATATTTGCTCATAGAAATGAATTACTTTATCTATTTTGGAAAGAACACATTAATTATCACAGCACATAAAATCTAAATAAAAAACAGAATGCGTTATATGCTTGAGTGCTTTGTTCTATATGCAGTAATGAGCAGGACAGCTAAACAGAAACATGGCCATGTAAACAAAGCAGGCTGGACAGTGAATTCAGCTCAGCAAGAGCTTTGAACAGAGCTGATGTATTTAAAGGGGAGGATCACCTCTGAGCATCTTTGCAAAGACATTTGTACAAAACATGCATTATTTTGATTCATGTTTGGGGTGAAACAGTAGAATATTCATTCTATATTATTATGGCATGTTGTTTGCATGGTCACACTTAATGTCCTCATCTTGTATCCCTTTACACACTTTAATGTGTTTATTTCTTCTTCAGATTGACTTTACCATAGTGTGAAGGTGGTGTTGTTGGCTGACGCTTTTAAACATGTCGGTGCGGGAATCTTTTAACCCGGAGAGTTATGAACTCGACAAGAACTTCAGACTAACACGCTTCACAGAGCTCAAGGGAACGGGCTGCAAAGTTCCTCAAGATGTGCTCCAGAAACTTCTAGAATCCCTGCAGGAAAACCATTATCAGGAAGATGAGCAGTTCCTTGGGGCTGTAATGCCCAGGCTAGGTACATAACTATACACACACTCACAACTGGAAATGAAGGCTTTTAAGATTTTTAAACGCTCTTTCATTAGTCTGCCCAGAAGAAAAAACCCCAAAACAATTACTTAAAGGGGTCATATGATACTTTTTTAAAGATCATTATTTGGTGTATTTGGTGTAACAGAATATGTTGACATGCTTTAATGTTCAAAAAACACATTATTTTTCAAATACTGTAAATTATTGTAGGTCCTATATGCCCCGCCTTTCTCAAACGCTTGGTTTTCTACAAAGTCCCTCCTTCCGACAAGCGCTGAAACCACGCCTTCTTTCTTTGCGTGAACATTTGGGCGGCATTATGCTAATATTTCCACATAGTGAGGTAGATATGTGGGGGCGTGTTAGAACGAGCCGTTTTAGGGGGGCGTGGCAGAGTCTTAACTTTGATAAAGAATATCTCTTTGGTTTTGAGACTTTAGTCTTTGCAACTTCAGGGATCTTATCTATGCACAATCAGCTTGTAACACTCCAAAGAGAAAGGAAAACTTGAAATCGCATCATATGACCCCTTTAAAGGAACAGTTCACCAAAATGAGAAAAATCTATCATTATTTAGACCTTCATGTAATTTCTAAACCTTTATGACTTTAATTTGTGGAAAAGAAAACAGACCTTGTATTTGCATGAACCTTTAAGCTTCAACACTTCAGACAAAATACTAAAATCATTTGAAATAACAATGTTTATGTAAAACAGGTGTTGGTATGGACACCTGTGTGATTCCGTTGAGACATGGAGGCTTGTCACTTGTGCAGACCACAGACTATATCTACCCCATAGTGGACGACCCATATATGATGGTAAGTACTCACTTTAGAATATCATAAAAGATCAAATGCATAAACTGAAAATTTGTCACAATCTGATGTTTTTTTCTTCTTCTATGAATTCTCTTGGTTTCTAGGGGAGAATTGCTTGTGCCAATGTGCTGAGTGACCTGTATGCCATGGGGGTAACGGAGTGCGATAACATGCTGATGCTTCTTGGTGTCAGCAACAAACTCACAGAGAAGGTGAGACAGAGGAAAAAGCCTTTAGTATCAAATATGATCCATCAGGCTTTTGAAGAACGTTTATTTTTCCATCTCTCAATCATCATTGTATTGCATTGCATTATGCCAGATATTTTCCCCCTTACAATAAAAACTACAGAGCTTAAATTGTAAAACTAAGCACTCCAATATAATATAGAGTGGCAACTGATATTTATATGCATTTTTGTACGTAGTCTGCAATACTGTAATAAAGATCTCATTGGTTTACTTCACAAGTTATCAGAATTTCATCTTTCTTTTCGGCCATATAAATGCAGCAACTGCTCCACATTGCATATTTCTGCTCACTTTAGGCCTTTGAATAAAATTGAGCTGTTTTTCCCTCAAGAATAAGCTCCATGTTCTTACTATATCATACTATATAATAAACTGTACTATTTAATGAAAAAGAAAAAATCTATTTGTGTTATACTGATATACCAGGCTTTACATGGTTAAAAATGTGGTATTTTCAGAAGGTGATGATATAGGTATCCAAAACAGAAATCACATTACTTGCGTGTGTTTTGTAGGAGCGTGATAAGGTCATGCCTCTGATCATCCAGGGGTTTAAGGATGCATCCGAGGAGGCGGGAACCTCCGTTACAGGAGGTCAGACTGTTATAAATCCTTGGATAGTCCTGGGAGGCGTGGCCACAACAGTGTGCCAACCTAATGAGTTCATTATGTAAGTAATTTTATGCACTCTTGCCTGTTGTTAACACATGCTTAATTAAAATGTCAGTCCATTCCTCTAATTTTGTGCATGTGTTTTTAAAGGCCAGATAATGCAGTACCAGGGGACGTGCTGGTTCTCACCAAACCTCTAGGAACACAAGTGGCGGTCGCAGTGCACCAGTGGCTGGACATTGTGAGCGTTTTAGACATTTGTAGTTTCATATTATAGCTTGGACAGAGTCTAACTGCTTACCATCTTTCTTTCGGTCTCAGCCAGAGAAATGGAATAAGATAAAGTTGGTCGTCTCTCAGGAGGATGTTGAACTGGCTTATCAGGAGGCCATGCTGAACATGGCTCGACTCAACAGAACAGGTCAGTATGTGACGTGTGTGCGGCTCATAAATACCAGATTCAGCAGGCGTTTGACCTTTATCTGTGTCTCTGTCCAGCGGCCGGGCTGATGCACACCTTCAATGCACACGCAGCAACTGACATAACAGGGTTTGGGATCCTGGGTCACGCTCAGAATCTGGCCCGGCAGCAGCGCACAGAGGTGTCCTTCGTCATTCACAACTTGCCGGTTCTCGCCAAGATGGCCGCTGTCAGCAAAGCTTGCGGCAACATGTTTGGCCTTATGCACGGCACCTGCCCGGAGACCTCAGGTATAAGATCAGACCTGTGGTGCACCTTTGTTAAAAATGCTACTTATTTATTTAATGAATTTTATACATCATGATGAAAACTGTATAATGAAATAATAACACATGAAAAATACTCATATAATTAAAATTCTAGTTTAATAAAAATCTTATGCATTTTATCTATGATAAACAAAAATAATAAACAATTAAAAAACGAATAAATAAATAAAAAATAATATAGAAAAAAGGAAAATGTTCTTTAAAATTGTTTTTATTTTAAATGAATTTTCCACATTTTACATTTTATACATGATAAAAACTGTATAATGAAATAATGATCAATTTAAAATAATAAACTATAATTTAATTTCTAACTGAATAAAAAAACATGCAATTTATATGTGGAAAAAAACCCCAAAAAGAATAAAAAAATAACACCAATTTTAAAAATGAATGTGAAAAAAAGGACAATGCTTTTTAAAAATGGTTTTTATTTATTGTTTTTTTGACATTTGACATTTTATACATGATGAAAACTGTATAAGGAAATAATAATAAATGAAAAATAATCAAATAATATTTGATTTCTAATTGAATAAAAAAACAGGCATTTTATATATGAATAAAACAAAAATAAAATCTACTAAAAAAAGTATTAAAATTATTGTAATTATATACAGTGCCATTCAAAAGTTTGGTGTTGGTAAGATTATTTTAGAAGTCTTTTATGCGTCAGCAAGGCTGCATTTATTTAATCAAAAATACAGTAAAAACTGTTATATTGTGAAATATGATTGCAATTCAGAATAGATGTTTTCTATTCGAATATCTTTTAAAATGACATTTATTTCTGTGATGCGAAGCTGAATTTTTAGTATCATTACTCCAGTCTTCAGTGTCACAAGATCCTTTAGAAATCATTCGAATATGCTGATTTGCTGATAAAGAAACATGTCTTATTATTATTATCATCATCAATGTTGAAAACAGTTTGTCTGCTTCATATTTTTGTGGAAACTGTATTTTTTTTTTTTTCAAGATTCTTTCATTTTATTTGAATGTTTTTTTTTCTTCATGCTATGGCTTTCTGTTTTTATTATGTTCAAGTTCAAATAGGGAGAAATGTTTTCAATGTGGTCTCAAGACATTTGGATCCCACTGTACATGCATTTTATCTCTGTGTTAAAGTGTTCTTAATAAGCTGTTATTACACATTCACTTTATCTTTGCAGAAAACATGAGTCTGAATCTAAACAAATGTCTCTTGTATTTTTCTGTAGGAGGTTTGCTGATCTGTCTTCCACGTGAGCAAGCGGCCCGTTTTTGCGCCGAGATCAAATCTCCCAAGTACGGCGAGGGTCACCAGGCCTGGATCATCGGCATCGTAGAGAAAGGCAACCGTACGGCACGCATCATCGACAAACCCCGCATCATCGAAGTCGCACCGCAAGTGGGCACACAGAATGTCAACACCACCCCGGGAGCCACGTCTTAGACCTGACCCCGTGACCCCTGAGCGGCCCGAATGGCTAGTGTACTCTAGCCTCAGCTGAAAATATATCAAAGTAATGATATATAAAACGTCTGCCCACCTTGGCCTTCGGGGCAGATTCCTCTACATGGACACAGTTATAAAGCAGAAGAACATTTCACAAAGAAAATTCAATTGCCTTTTTATGTCTATAGTTTTCTGTTTCATTAACCGAACATGCACCTGATTGTGAGGCAGCTTCCAAGTTGAACGAATAATTAATAGTATAATACTTACCTGGCACTGTTGATTACTTCCAAATTTCTTCTGCTCACACATCACCTGCGGTTTCATACTTAGCCATGGTGTGTTTTAGCCTTTCCTCTTAGTATGCACAGCCCATGTGGTAGTTCACATCATAATCTTTGCCTCGAAAAAATAGTTAATGAAGCTGCAGTGACGAGGAAGAGTCGGGAAAAGATTGCTTTTTTACTTTTGTATTATCCCTCGTTTGTCGGATTAAATAATCCTCCATCTCTGTTCGGTGGAAACGTTAGACTGAAGGAATCCAAGGTAATACCTCTCTAATAAATCAAGTCCTCGTATTTTGGGAAATGCACTCCTGCCTTTAATGGAGGTGCTGAAGTTTCTCAAAGAATGTGCTAAACATTGGAGATGCAGTTTATATTGTGTGATATTCACTGTTTCACATGAACATCATTAGTTCTGTTCTGTGGTAGAGCTGTTTTTATATTCTGTACAAAGGTCATACTTTCTCGTGCTCTCATATTTGCTAATCATTATATATATATGCATTGAAACCCCACCAATAAATCAGTTCTTTTTTTTTAATTCTTGAAAAGTGTGTGTGTGTGATTAAGATCCAGATTTTTGTGTACAGTTTTTCAGTTTAATTAAGTGCAGAGTAAATTCAACATTTTAGAAGTAAATATGCACAATTTACAGTCATTTGCCAAAGACTACATGCTAAAATATTTACAATTAAATACAGTATTTGTTTTTACACTTTCTTTTCCCCAGCATAGATCCCTTTTGCTCTAAAATATCTGGTGCACTGATTCACTAAACTGTTTTTTTGCTATAAATAACTACAATATATTATATACATGTTTATTTAATACTAACATAACCTACTGGTTGCTATTTGTGGTGCTTGTTCAGATTATTATCCTTAAACTGGTGCTTTCAGTTTGGGTCAGCTTTGAAATTGAAGCTTTCTGTTTTTAGGAGTCACATCTTCTTCTCTTTCAGGTTGAATAGAGCTTTTATGTCCAGCATGGCCTGCCTGATGTTCTGCCCAAAGCGGAACGAGTCCTGAGGACAGAGAGGAAAAGACAGTCTAAGGTAAGTGTGCTATAGTGATACTAAATCAGCATATGTATTCATGAGAATAACTGGATTAATATTTAATCCAGAATTTTCTTTAACTAATTTGTTTCATGGAAGTCATGAGCTTTGAAATATTTGAGATTGAATACATGATGACAGAATTTTTTATTTTTACTTATTTTGTATGAACTTTTGGATGAACTCAAATCGTTATTTTTCCCGTTTGATCAGCATCTGAACTTTGTGTTATTACGTTAGAAAGGCTTGTTTGCACCAAGAACTATAAAAGTGATTTTATTTTTCATAAAATTAAAATCCTCAAATGACCAAATAATAAAACTGTAATGATTAATTAAATATTAAATGCAAAAAAATCGATGAAGCATTAACTATAACAAAAATAAAGTGATTCATTCAATATATAAATCTATTACAATAACAAATTAAAAGAAATAATACTTGTGTTCAAAAAATCTCAAATGATAAATCAAATGCTAAAACCGAACGGTAACTATAACGACAACCAAAGTTTTAAAACGCTGTGCGCGCGCTGCTTACGTAAACAGAAATTTATCGTCCGTTGGTTTGGACACTATTAATTATTGTTCTTGGTGTGAACATAACAATGGTCTATATCTGAATAATGTATGGCCTTAATTTATTTGTCAGGATCATGTATACACAAGTGGCACTTAAGAAAAATGCCAAAGTTTAAAATTCTCTTACCGTCTCGGGGCTGGAGAACTTGCTGGAAATGTGGAATGTAATGAGATTCTCGTCGACAATGATGTAAGAAACACCATAACCGTCATCAGCAACCTGCATATAAAAAGTTTTAAATGAAAAATGATCAGATGTCAGGTTCATTCATTCACGAAACTTGTTACAATGACACGTTGTGTACTGTAGGAGGTGTGAGTGAAACTCACAGGCCCAAAGCCGCCTCCAGCTCCCACATATTTGGGAAACTTCTGAATGTCGATGAGATTGAGCTGCTGTTGAGGGGTCTGACTGGTGGAGAGGCGCCAGGGCTCTGACAAAACCTATCAAAAGAAGGTGTCCTTGACTTAAGCAAAACTAAACAGGTATGTCATATTTTACGCTCATGAACAGACTTCTACAGACCTGTTTGAGGAAGGGTGAGTCAATGCCCATTACTTTGGACACAATGTAGAGGCAGAAGAGATGGCGATCAATCCCGGCTCCTGTCATGGCCAGGCGGTACATGTTCTGATGTTTATCTGCAGCTTTTTTGAAGAGCGCCAACCTTTGCTCATTCTGGTAAACAAGAAAAAGTCAGACAGGTCAATTTAAATTTCAAAAAGGTTCAAATGAATACAGATTTTCAAATCAAAGCATATACCATTGCTTAAAGGGTTAGTTCACCCAAAAATGAAAATTAGGCTGCGTTTTACTCACCCCCGAGGCATCCTAGGTGTATATGACCATAAAA